ATGTTCCGACCGAAATTTTGAAATATTGATAATTTTAAAATTAATTAACATTAAGAGGCAGAGGAAAATTGATGATATATTTTGCAGAAGGTGAAAATGAATGTGCGTCAGTGATGACTAAGTCGTCTCAACTTCTTAATTTTTTTTTTGGTTTGCCATTTTCTTATTATTATTGTTATTTAAATATTTTAGTACGAAACTTGTTCAAAGAACCAATATTACTATGTCAAATTAACGTACTACGTGGGTTAGCTCTAGTTTAGATATCTCCAACAGCAAGCAAAGCTTTCTAGACATCCAATGGCTATATGTCTGTTTCATGGGTAATGTCTTTAATTTGTTTGATCAAACCCTTATCAGGAGGCAATGAATGCATATAATATAGGTCCCTTTGTTTTTAAAATTATTATTGCTTGTTTGTTTCATATTATTTCTCTTTATGTGTAATTTTAGATCTGAATTTCTTTATCGAAGCCTAGAATCATGCATTGGGCAAAATTATGTGGGGTTGTGTCACAAAGCATTTTAAATTCTTAGAATGGCCTGTTGGATTGGTGATCCAGAGAACTGGCTATTTCGCTGGTTCAATTGACCCCAACTAATTGAGAATAAATAATAATTAATTTGGATTCTCACTGGAAAAGTATTCATATTATAATTTTCTATTTCATAGTATCTCAGATGGGATCATCTGTAGTAAGAGGATACTCATATGTTAAAAAAAAACGTCAATTGACTCCGGATTTTTTATGGTTGACCCGATACTGTCCAGAGAGTTGGCCGGACCATCAAGTTAGGTTTTATATAATTTTTTTTCCTATCGTGTTCAAAATGACGCCATTTGAGTTAAAAAAAAGTTAGGAGTCTACATATTTGTGGTCTGATTTTATTTTGTGGGGTTGTATGTGTTTTATACATGAATGTTGTATTTACTTATATGTTAGTATTTTATTTAAATATTACTTCTTAGAGTTGTCTATGAATATTTATATATATAATTAAATTATATTCTTTCATTATAATCGATTTTTTATAATGTTTTATTTTTTAAAAAAATATTTTTAATATAATTTTAATTTCTAACGACACTAATTTTGAATTTTAAATCATAAATAATTTTTTTATAAATAATTTTTAAATTTATTTTTTAATTAATATTGATAAGATATACAATTTAATGATATATGTATTATATTACATTATATTATATTATCTATATGTATTTTATATATTTGAATAAAATCATTTACAATTAGGCAAAAAATCTTGTTATTCAAAAAATAACTACTATAATAAAATCTAATAAATTATTCTATATAAAAAATTAAATGATTTAGATAGATTATGATAAACAGTATTCTCCTACTTGTATATATATCCTATGTAATTTATTTTCTTAAAATTTTTTGTATACACCATTTGTTTTTGTATTGAAGACTAAAATCAATCTATATCATGGGTATTAATTATATCCTGATTAAATTTGATTGTTTAATAATTGAAATTCAAAATTTATTTCAATATTAACTTGCATTCATATAAATTTATTAAATTGTTATGAATTTCTATCATATATTATATATTTCAATATATTTTAGATATGATAAAATTATTTCTTTCTTATATCAGTTTGTATAAGAAAGTTATTAATATTCTTATTATATTTTTTAATTATTATTAATAATCAAGAGGAATTTATTTTAACAAAATATAAACAAGTTGTCTAAGAAATTGTCTTTTTATTTTCAGTATATACATAATGATGACATGAATGATGACGATATCTTCATTAATAACAACTCCACAAGTATATCGATTTATTTTATAATTAAAAATGTTTTTAAATCATTATATTCTTAATTGTTATTATATAATTTTTGTAAGATTATAATTAAAAATAACAAAATTTAAAATTAGTGAAGGATTAGCGACGGAATGAAATTAGCAACGGAATTAGTGACAAAAACTTCTATGACAAACAATTTAGCTACGGAATTAGCGATGAAAATTTCTGACGAAAAAAATTCCGTCGCTAAATATTTACTGACGGATTTTCCAATGAATTAACGACGGAATTTATTGATGAACAAAAATTCCGTCGCTAATTTGTCACTAATATTAGCAACAGAAAAATTCTGTCGCTAATCCATCAAAAAAATTAACGACAGAATTTTCGTCGTAATTCCGTCAAAAATTAGCGACAGAATTTTTTTTTGTCGCAAATTCCGTCGGAAATTAGCGATGAAATTTGTTTCCGTCACAAATTCCGTCGCTAATTAGTTGTTTTTTTTTTTATAGTGGATGCATCTAGCACCTCGATTTTATTTTTTCAAAGTATCCAACACCCTAATATTATTTTTTTAGTTACATCCAATAATCTTCAGGGTGCTTTGAAATATCAAAAATAATATTAAAGCGTTGAATGCATCAAAAAAGATAAAATCGAGGTGATGAGTGCACCTAGGCAATAAAATTTGGGTGCTAGCTGAACCTTATCCATAATAAAATATAGGTATAGTCAAGACTTTTGCTAAGTCCCCACGAAACGATAGTCACGTCTAACCAAAAGGAAATAAAAGTTCAGGACACACTGGGAAGTTTCATGGATGATGACTTGATAATTTTTTTTATCTATATATATTATTATAATAAAATATAATAAGTTTTTGGGAAAATTAGAACAAAGCACCTATAGAGAAAAATATTTAGTGCAGAGGATCATAAAAATTAGAATTATTTTAAAGAACCATATATTAAAATATAATTTTAGAAAGATAAAATTGTCTACAACTAATCTTCTTATATTCTCTCATATGATATATCAAAAATTGACAGTTAATGAGTTCCTTTAAATATAATTTTAGTCAATAAATTTTTATAATTTTATAATTTAATTAAAAATACATATATACAATTATAAAATATTTTTAGCCAACATATATATTTAAAATATTTTCACAAGCAAGTTTTAATAAATAAATGAAATTAAACATTTAAATTACTAAAAAATAAAATTTTATATTTATAAAATTAATTAAATTTATAATATGGTAATTGATTTAATAGCATAGGGAAAAAAATTAGAATATGTATTTTCAATTTTGAATAAAGATATGTTATATGTGATTAAATGATAATTATTAAATAATATTTGTGTTAAGGAAGGCTATTTTGGTCCAAATAATAAGTTAACACTATGATTTAATGGTTATGGATAAAAGTTAAATCTCAAAACAGGAAGGCTTGTGCAATATATATTTTGATTTTAATGATATTCATATAGGTTTTCAAAATAAAAATAAGATCTCTGTAATTTAAGTAGAAAGGATATTGATATATTTTACTCTTTTTTTATTCTTAAATGTAAACAAAATAGGAGAATCACAAAGGCAACAAATAAAGTGAAAAGGGTAATTTGGTATTTTAAAATCTATATTTGAACAGTTGGTTCTTTTAAATAATTCTAATTTTTATGGTCTTTCTTACTAAATATTTTTCTCTATAAGTCCTCTGGTCTAATTCTCCCTAAGTTTTTACTGTGCATGTGTAGTAAAGATATCTTTAATTAATTAGATTGTCAAATATAAAAAATATATTTTTATTATAAATCTAATGTAAACATATTTTTAGTAATATTTAAAATCATAATTTTTTAAAAAATTTTAGGTTTTTTTTTTTTAGCTCAGAGCATCCTCAAGTCACTTTAGACTTGATACTAATTTTTGTCAGGCCAAGAATATAATGTTAAGTTTAAAGCTCTCCCAAAAAATGTATTTCTCAAGATTTAAGCTTATTTCTCTGCCTTATAAGAGGGAGATCACTTACTATTTCAAGTAACAACTTGTGTTGATAAAATTTTAGCTTTTGAGGTAGCTAGAGACAAACATAAATTACATAACATTACCAAAAATAAAATTAATTCTCTCTGTCATCTGTTGTCGTTTTCGCCAAATATAGATTTTCAGGTCACCTTAATTGTGTCATGCAGTCAAAACGTGTGTCACGTGAATGCTAAAAAGACATTTACGAAGTAGTTGATATTATTTTGCGGATGATTTTCTAACCACCAATTTCACTAGAGGGAATCAGAGCTCATCAAAGTGACGAATGGCATCATACTTACCAAATCAGGACAATTCAAATTTAATATGGATGGTCTAGAAACTTTTTATAATTTGTATTTTTCTTAATTTTTTTATTTTAAAGGGTATAGAATCCAAGGTAAAAACAATATCTCAACTAATTATTAATTTTTTTCAAAAGTAATCTTTAATTTAAAGATTATAGATTAAAAAATTTAAATTTAAATCATTAAAATTGTATTTGAGTCCCAAAATATTCATACATGCAATGAACACCGAACTAGTTGTCCAACAACTGCTATAATTAAGTTCTGCTACAAATTTTGATGCCACTTGGTAGTAGCCATTCCTCCTCGATTCAAACATCACTACCTTTCTGTAGTTTTTCTCTCTGTTTTTTTAAATGGTTTTCTTTTCGTATCACAAATTTTTTCAGATTGTAGGTAGCTAGAGTTGGGATTTAGTCCAATTCGAAGGAGGGAAAATTTCAATAAACCTCCTTTATAGCTAATTAATGTCAGTTACTTCCAAAAAATTCTGAAATTTTATTGGATCCTCTTAACCATAATTTTTTGTGCCAGAAAATAAAAATACTACTACCTCATTTGAGTTGCAAATCACAGAGTTTGTATTACATATCACTAAATTCTTGTTGTAGATAGCCGAATTTGAGTTGTAAATTCTTATAAATTTTATGAATGAATGAACAACTCAAATTCATCCATTTATAACAAAAATTTTACAGTTTACAACAAGAAGTCGGCAATTTACAACTTAAATTCGGCGATTTGTAACTCAAATAAAGTAAGGATATTTTTGTTTTCTCATAAAATTTTTTTGATGCATTGAAATTTCAGAATTTTTAAAGGGTTGACTGATATTAATTGGTTACTGAATGGTGTTTATTGAAATTTTTCCTTGCGAAAGAATAACAGACTGATATTGATAACATGGGGGAATGGTGATATATATACATATATGCAGACAACAAAGAAAAACCAACAACAATACACACCTACATCTAGAGTACTCCATCAATAATAACATGGATCCTGACCCACTTCATTAAAATAACGGACCCTCAGCGACAAAGATCCATAACCAAACCAACCACAACTATAAGCTATTAATAATTGAGGTAATTAAACCATGCACAATATGTATTTAACACAGCCCAAACGACCATATAATTATGATAATGACGCTAGACTATCTGAGAAGCTTGTTAATTGTTCTAGTTGGCCAAGTACACGATCCAGTTCGTGGATGAACCTCTTCATAGCACTGAGCGGCAAGTAGAATGGCACAACAATACCTTCCTCTCCTTTTGCATTCTCACATGCAGCATAATAGCTCGCTCCAGGAAAAGGACCGGCTCCGGCCGTCGCCGGTCCACCGTACACCGCCTTACCCCACCCAAAATCCACACCCCTAAACCCGAGACGAGACGTGTCCGACACGATCCATGTTCCGGGCATAACGAAGCAGGGTCGTCCTTTAGTGACCATAAAATCAGCCACAGATTGCATATACTCCACCGTGGCCTCAGCTTTGGCCTTCTTCACCAACTCTAAGGCATACCCAAATGGATTTTCACATAGCTTCCCTGCTGTTGTGACTGCAGCTGGGTACACAAAACCATTGCCATAGTAACCAAGTGGTAGTACTGGAGGGTTTGATTTGCCCCTTACATTACTGATGCACATAAAGCGAACCTCTTGAGAGGGTTCTAATTGCAATGCTTTAGTACGACAACGCCATAGGAAAGCCGTGAGAGCTTCAAACCTTGTAGTGTACTGACCATTATTATAACTGGAAAACATTTGGCGGATGGCTTCTAGCTCTTTGGGTCCAAAGAAGAAAGAGTGATGAGCGATGCTCTCTTGGGTCCATATTGGATCGTAGTTACTGGGGATTTGCTCGTACTCACGATGTGTACAAGTAATTTGAGGCGGGTCCCTTGCTGATAGAAGCTCTCTCCGCCATACCGGAGCAACCGACGGTTCACGTGCACCGCCGGCAATCTCCACCACGGCGTTTAGGAATTGGACTATGCCAGGACCGTCACTCATGGTGTGATTTAGGCGGTAGGCCAAGATGAATCCGCCACACTGGAGGCGCGTCACCTATAACAAAATGAGCGCAGATGCTTAAATATAAATCGCCATCATACGTTACAGGAAAAATTAATTTGTAAATAACTATTACCTCCGGTCTTTAATATAAAAGCTAGTTGACTAATTTAAATAGATTAAGAAAACTTGTTAAGTTAATTACTTGTAATAAACAGATGTTGTCTTTCCTAAAATATCTTGGCTAATTAAGTTTATTAGATAGAATTATTATCATTACAAGGACTATCTTAGAAAAAAATAGATAAATATGGGAGATAAAGTGGATTGGAGCATATATTTAGGATCAAAATAAAAGTCAGATAAGTTCTTATAATAAGGACCAGAAGTAGTATAATCTTATATAATTTTAATTAATTAGGTCATCGTAGTTTCTTTATCAAGTCTTTATGCTTTTCTCAATCATATATATATTGGTTTCTATATTCATAATTTGTTAATTTATAAGAGAAACAACGTTAGTAACTGATGACATAGCTCTTAACTCAACATATACTTGAATTAATTTTATCTCATGGATGTAAATAAAATCAAAATCAATCAGGTTTTTTTAACCTCTCCAAAATCAATCAAATTACATATTATTCGTATAAAAGTAAGAAGATAATTATGAATAATAACTCTTTTTTATGTTATATTTTGTGGTAACTTTTCATACGGTTTCGTTTCGTCAGCATCCACAGTAACTCTAATTAGAAGATTCTTAATATAATGATCGAGCTGGAAACTTGAAAATATTTAATAAAAAACATAATTCCCTGGTCAAAAAAATAAAAAAACGTAATATATATAAATGCTCAAAAATCACATGAAATTATGAGAACTGAGGGACTTATTTGACTTATTTTATAAAAGCGAGGAGGATGATATATATGGTAGAAATCAAAGTGTTGGGGAAAGTCATTAAGACCTGGATGATTAGGAGGGGACAGTTGAGAACTCCTTGAGAACCAGGAACGTTATAAAGCAACTCATCAAAATATGGGAATGGAGGCTGAAGAGTGTCACCGAATTGGTGAAGACTAATATCAGCATCGGCTTCAGTAAACATCACTCCTTCTCCATTACAATCCACCATAAGCTTCCGTCCATCTCCTTCTCTCAGTCGACCTGCAAACGGGTAGTAAAATACCAGAGCTTCAGAAAGTGCCTTCTTTATCACTTGAGCTGGGTCCTTCCCTTTCATGGAAGCTTTGTGACTGTAGAAGTGCATAAATGGTATCTGAAATCGTAAACCATCTTGGTCATCTATGTCGGAGAGCGGTTTCAATTCACGAGGGGTGGGCTTCGCCGGGGACACCAGTTCAGGTTGGTGCCGCCGCACAGTAAAGGCTCCGTCGCCGGAAAGTGCTTCAGGAGGAGCCATATTATGACACGAACAAAATCACAAAGGGAGGAGATCAGAGTGAGAGTTTTATTGTACGTTTGATGAGTTTATTTTTGAGCGAGGTGGCAATATTTATAACGGCGGATGGGATAATGAAAAAATCGAATTGTTGTTTGTGGCTGTGAATTTGTGATAATTTGCCTCTGCACAATTCTCCAAGAAAAACAAAACCAAATATATGTGTGTGTGTGTGTTGTCGTTTAGTACTAGCATTTCAGCTTGTGAACGCGTCCCGAGTCTCCTGTCTTGTTAAATTAACGCGGTGAAATATCTTTTTCATAGGCGTTCACAATTTTGAAAATATTTGTGGTACAATTATGTTCTAAAAACATATTTTTAAAAATTAAAAGTAGTTTTGTTCTTAAAGTATTTTTCAAGAGTAATTTTAATCTCACTTTTAACTTTACATTCAACATCTTAAAATGTTTTTTTAGTACCAATATAGCACTCAACACCCAATATAATTTTTTTTGCTCAGTTTTTCCTTTAAAGTATTTCTAAATTAATTTTTTTGTTCAATTTTTCGTACTCATAGGTAACATTTTCAATGTTCAATTATTCAATTTTTTGAATAGTATTAAAAGCTCGTAAAACGAGGATTGAAAATATGTAAGCTTATTATTGAAAAACTGAAAAGCTTCCACGGAGTTTTTACGTCCTGAAAGTAATTAAAGATTATATCACCCGAAAAAAAGAAAGTAATTAAAGATTGTAGGTAAAAACATGAAAGATAAGTATCGCAAATATTTAAAATAACCACTAAAAAAATTTGGAAAACATCTCATTGAAAATGTTAAGAACAAGTACTAAAAATATGGAAGATGAACACTGAAAATATGAAGAAAAAAAAGGAGTAATAAAAACATTAACTAAAAAAAGATATTTTAAGGAAAAATTGAATAAAAATTTATTTAAAAATATTGAATGCTATTAAAAAAATATTTTAGAATACTAAATATACCTTTATTTTTTTGTGTGTGGATATTTTACAGAATTATGGGCAAGCTTAAGATTGCTTCCAAGAACATTTTAACAGCACAATTATTCATGAAAAAAGTACTTCAAAGACAAATTTACACTATAAAATATTTGAAGACACTAACTGCACCTGAAAAAATAGGGGAGGAAATTTCTAGGAATCTTTTTTATTTTTGGCATATCTAGGGAATTTCTAGGAATCTAGCCTAAAAGAAATACGATCATTGAGCTTGAGTGGGAAGAGATGTTCGCCCGTCATTTTCTTCGCATTAATTGTCTTTGAATTATGAACTCGATAGAGTTGATACAAAAAAAAGGACAGCATCCTACATCCTTAAAATCCCCTCCAATACTTTTTGTAAAATTAGAATAATAAATAAAGACCGTAAAAATGATACATTTTCAAATCAAGATTTATCACAACACTTTAATAAATTTTAACAAAAATTGACTTGCAAATAACAGCATATTTTTATGAAAATGCCTGATTTGAGATTTTACAACTTTTACAATCTTTGTTTATCATTTTTCTTTTTTATAAATTATAATTTTTTGAATAATTCTCATCCTTTTCTAAGCTACACTTTGAACATATATGAATTTAATACATTTTTTATTTTATAATTAATTATATGTACTTTTTTCTATACATTCTTTCATATTTTTATACACCCACTTCTCCTCTCTCACTTATCCTCTCTATGAGCGAGGGCATATTTTGAGGGGGAAAAAAGAATAAATTTCTGACATACTTATTAAATTTGAACTAATTTTTAATTTATATGATTTAAATATTTATAACTTATTTTTTTAACCAGAAGTTATGAAATCGTTAGTATTTGTCTTAGTGATTCAAATAGAGAATGAGAGAAAGCGACGTGTGAAAAGGAGTGTCATAATAGCAAGAGTGTGAGGTGTGAACTGAAGAACGTACGTACAGCCAAAGTTATGTGGTTTGTCGAATATTTGAAATACGTATGAGGTCCTTTCGCAGCTGCATTATTGATTTCATCGCCTTTCCCACCGTCCCAGAGTGTCCTCTTTATTGTCATTAATTCTTAGTATCGTTATTTCTAGATATTTCTTATTTGTGTGGTCTATGTGGCTTAATTAGATAAGAATTGACAAATAAACTGAGTAGTTTTTAATTGGATTATTATTATTGTACACTAATAACTCGTGATTTAATTAGCTTGTTTAATTACTGGTTGGCTGCATTTGATGTGTTCTATGTTTGTTGATTGTGCTATACCTCCTATTCTTAATATAATATTTACTTTGTAATTTAAATTGCGCTACAAATTATGTATATGAGAGTGTGAACGCAAGACAATTTAATTATTTCCACGTAATTAAGTACCTTCAATGGAGTGTAAAATAATATTCTTTTTTGGCCTAAGATACATCCAATATCTTAAAATATTTTGTAGGGCATTCAGTATCCTAAAATATTTTTTATGTGCATCTACTACCTCAAAGTCACTTGAAAATATTTTTTCGTGCATCCTGCACTAAGGCAAAAAAAACACTTCAAGGTGGTGAACACACATAAAAATATTTTGATATGCTAGATACATTAAAAAATACTTTAAAGTATTAAATATACCTGAAAAAATATTTTGAAGTGCTGGATATATCTTAGTTTTTTTTTTCCCTCTTTGTTTAAAAGAATTTGTAGAAATGGTGTGGCTGTGCAGAAGCCAGCAAGCCCCTGTCAGTCATCGCGTCACTATGTGATGTGGTCCTCCCCGCATGGCCGCGTATGGAAAAAGCCTGTCGTTTGGGACCAACGTATGTGTGTACCGCGTTTGCATGGCTTGATTTGTTGACGTCCTCACCCTGCTGTGTGGTCACTATTTTACGCGCACACACATTTTATTTGAGACACTTTCAAACACTAAATGTAAGCATTTTTTTTAACAGTGATTTGAATCTTAGCTTACCATGTTGTGAAAAACTACAGGTGATTACTATTACTAATAAGTGTTAGTTTGAGAATTTTATGTTTTACAAGAAAAAATCCATCTCATATATTTAGTTCACAGCACAAATTTATTTAAAATCACTTCTCGTACCTATGTCATGAGAGTGAATTATATGTCAAAAGCCAAAATATATATTTAATCCTTTAATTTTATACAAAGTTTTAATCTGACCTCTGCAATTTTTAAGAAGTACATTTTTAGTCATTTAACTCTAAAATTGTTAGTTTTAAATGATATTTTTTTTACAACTATAATGATTATTTTAAAAATTAAATTTAATATGTTAGCATTTGAAAATAATTTATTAGCATTCAAAATCTCAATGACATCATTTTTTGTTAATGGTTTTATAGTTAAATGACTAAAAATATACTCTTTGAAGTAGCATTTTATATAAAATTAAAGGACTAAAAATATATTTTAGCCTAGAATATTATATATATTAATTACTTCCAAATGGGTTAGGGTTGAGCGCAATTACAAAAGGAATCACACTAAGGACATACTCATCTAGTTTTATTTATAAGGAAGTGAGAAGAAATTTTTGCCCTATTTATGGGGTAGAGGAAGAAATTTTTTTTATATGAATTGAATAATTTTACCCTTCACTTATTATTATACTATTATTGTTCTCATTAGGTATCAAGAGGTATAAGGTATACTAATAAAAGGAAAAACTAATTTGACGGTCCTTATAGTTTTTATCATCAATTTGGAATCAGATCCTAGTAAATTTTTTTCCTTTTTGTTAGATCTTTAACTTTCTCCTATTAGGTCCATTAATCCCTACAGTTAAATATAACAAACACCGTTACAACTTTCCGTTAAATCTTCTCCTCAACCCCCCGAACGTGTTCCTAAGTCATGTCCATATAGCTCACAGGGGTAGGGTGGGAACACAGGGAATGAAGGCGAAGTAGAAAAGAGAAAAAAAGCAAAGAACCTTAAAATGGGGTTTCGTACAAAGTTCATTTCTTTGAGCTTGAATTGCTAAGATAGAATATTCAGAGTCCAGACTAAGGGGAAGCAAATTTGAGATAAGAGGATCGCAGAAAATTGAGGAACAAATGAAAAATAAACTAAATCCAACAATAAAGTAAAGATAAATTCTATAACTAGCATAGATTCAATTTAACAAACAGCTTAAAGGGAGAGAGACTTGTGCAGATCAGTTAAAAAAAGAAAAAGAAAAAGGAAGAAAGTGGAAGTGGGGAAATATATCATATGAACAAGTGGGACGCAGCTGGAATTCAAGGTGTTTTCACGAGTTTGATCGACGAGCTAACACTACTCATATCGGTGAGGGCGCGAGAACGGCGGGGTAGGAGGAGATGTTGACAGAAAGTTATAACAGTGTTTGTGTTATTTAACGGTAAGGATTAATCGACCGGAGAAAAGTAAAGGATCTAATAAAAAGAGGAAAAAAAACCATAAAGACTTGATTCCAAACTGATAAAAAGTACAAGGACATCCAAATTAGTTTTCCAAATTAAAAAATTGTTAAATTTTAAATGAGTTAATAAAATTTATTTTTTAATTTGTGTGAAATATTTTAGAAATAACTTATAAATATGACTAGATCAGTAAAATAAAATAGTGCTTATACATTAATAAATATAGTAAAATACGTCAACCTCATTTCTATATAAACTAAATTATTGGGAGCTTTCTTTTATTTTGAAAACCTATATGGACATTCGTTAAAATCAAAATATAAGTTGCATAAATTTTTCTTTTAATTTGATATTCAACTTTTATCCACCAAGCCGTTAATTGATCATAGCATCATAATTTTAACTCATTATTCTGACCAAAATGCCCTTCCTTAACACAAATATTACTTAATAAATATCATTTAATCACATATAATGTATTCTTATTCAAGATAATTTTGACATATAGTTTAATATTTTTATTAAAGATTGTGACCATATTACAAACTTAATTAATTTTATAAACATAAATTTTATTTTTCAATAAATCTAAATATTTAATATCATTTATTTATTAACATTTATTTGTAATGCAATCTTTTAAATATATATTGATT